CCGCGAGGGCGGGGGCGCCCAGGTTGGGCTCGGAGTCCTTCACCGGATTTGTGCACACAGCCCCGGGAGAAGCGGCCGCGGGTTTTACGGCCCCAGCCCACCCGGCCTTTACTGCACTGCCTGCTGCCAAGTTACGGCTGAAATTCGCACAGCTTCATAATTAGGCTGTAAAAATTCACTCCGGGCTGAAATTGGCCATATAAACAGTGACTGAAAACCAATTCTGTTTTGTTTTTCTCAACTGAAAAAAAGGCAAGGAGAGAAAAAAAAGGGGGATCTGAAAATTAAGTACAAATGACAAGCATCCAAACTGTTCGGGCCGTGGGAGCACCCGGCGACCGTACCGTCATCCTTGGTCCGCTCCAGGAGGAGGGGAGAGCTGGGGACTCCGTTCCCGATGCGGGTGAACGCCAGCACCTGGAGCTCGTACAGCACAAACTTCCGGAGACCCGTCAGCAGCGCCGACTGCGTGTGGTTCCCGCGCACGACGTGGCTGCGGGGCTCGGGATCCAGCTCTTTGGCCCGGAACAGGATCTGGAGCATCAGCACACAAGTGCACGGTCATGAGGGCGCGCGGTGCCAGGAAGGGGTCTCAGGGGCACCGGGGCTCCCAACCCCAAGGCAAGGACCAGGCGACCGTTGCCTCCCCTAGGACCGCCGCGTTTTGGCTTGTGGACCCAGTTTCCACGTGCGGTGTTCCGTGGGGGCGAGCGGCCCGAGACGCGCTTTGTGAGATCTGGGGCACACGGCGGGAGCCACAGCAGCCACAGCCACTGAAACGAGGACTCGGTCACGAACACGGAGATGTTCTGCTTCCTCCAGGAGCCTGCACCCCACTCCGTGTCCCAGCTTATTGGGAAACTGGGCTCTTGCCTCAGGAGAGTCGCTGCAGTCTGCCTGAACCCCAGGCCGCAGCTCCCCGGGGCTAGGTACTGCTGCCCCCACACAGACTCAGCACCCCGGGATGCTGCCCTCCACGGCCCCGCCTGCTCCTGCCCATTTCCTAAGTCCTTCCTCAGAGCTCACCCTTCTGGAACTGGCCCCTCAGTGACCGGAAAGCCACAGAAGATGGCCAGCGAGCAGAGTGACTAGAGGACAGCAAGCTCTTTTCTCCAGGACCCAGGTATGTGGTGGGGAGCGTGGCTCACTGGACCCACTCCAGGGGACTGCCATGTCCCGTGGGGCCTGAGGGAGCAATCAGAGCTCCCTGGAAGGGAGACGCGGGAACAGGTGGGGAAAGACAGAGACTAGGGATTAAAATCACGGGACACCCGCAGGCGACAGGCAGAAGTCTGCAGCTGGCCACGTCTGGGAGAATTCATCCTGCTGCCTGGAGGAGGTGACGGAACAGAACACAAACGGGTGTGAGACTACACCCAGCAATGGCTCCCAGAGAGGCTGGAAGGAGGTCAGCCCCTCGCCCTGATGCCACCGCCTGGACTTCCCGGGGTACTGGTGTGCAGGCATGCGTGCATGTAGCTAAGAACAGGGACCTGACACGCACACCCTAGAAAACACCGGCTTCCGTCCCATACCTAACCTCAGAGGCAGCTACGATGATGACTCCCATTTCACAAAGCCTGGAAGCAGAGGTTCAAGGCTAAGTAGGTGGCTACTGTGTGTGCCTTGCTTTAGTCTATGGTAAGAGGTCATGGCCACACCGAATCCCCAGAGGGTTTAGGTAAGTTTAGATAAGACGCCAGACAGGAATATCACAAAATGGGCCGGTGCAGTCGGTCTGGAAGAAAACACAAGCTCCCTGGTTTAGGGGAGTGGCATGCAGTCCCATTACAACTTACGCGAGGACGGTCACCTGAACGCGTACCTTGTAGCCCAGGATGAGCCCGTTCTGGTCCTGTTCTGGTACCGAAGCCCATGTCAGTAAAATCTGGGTCGAGCTCACAGCCTCGGCGGACACATTTTCAGGCGCGGCTGAAGGAACTGCCGGGGATGAGTTAAATAGGTTGGTACCGAAAATCTAAAGGCTTCTATAAATAAAGGCCCAACTTTTACCCAAACAATCAAGTTGTCCTTGAAAGAGCAACGAATTCTGAGCCTTTTGGAGTGATCAGATTAAGCCTGCAGAGATATAACAGAAATGTAAATCTCTTTAATATTAGCAACAAATTCCACAGATCCGGGGTATTTAGATGGTCCATTTTACCCGAATCCGCCCAGCAAGACAATATGCTTGGGCTGTTTTCATATTAACTTGTGGGAGCTACAGGCTTTTCTCTCCAGGGGGAAATCCTCACTTCCAGACCCCGGTTCAGTGATACCTCTAAATGTGGTATTTTGTGAGGGCGGCAGGGGTGCTGGAGAGAGCAGGTGACGTTACCATGCACATGACCAGGGAGGGGAGGGAAAAATCACCCATGTGCTCAGTGCACATCCTGTGCTACGGGGTCTTTGGATCCACACTCACATCTAGGAGCCGCACGAACCCAGTGAGGCAGGGGTGAGCAGCCCCGTGCTGCAGGTGGGCAAACCAGGGCTGGAGAGCACGCCATCCAGTCCAGTTAGGTGAGTGCTTTTTATACAAAGGGATGGGCCTCTGGAGGCAAGCTGTGCAAATCTTACCTGTGCACCTGCAGGATAAAGTTTGACTCTCTCCTGTTTACGTATGTCACCGAACTAATTCTATTTATTTATTAATATTTTAGAGAGAGAGGGAGACCGTGCTTGCGTGAGCAGGGCAGGGATGGGGAGGGAGACAGACAGAAAGTGAGAGAGAGAAAGAATCCCAAGCAGTCTCACATACAGCCCAACACGGAGCTCGATCCCATGACTGTGGGAACGTGACCCAAGCAGAAATCGAGAGTTGGACGCTTCACCGACCGAACCACCCAGGCCCCCATCACTGGGAGCCCCATCACTGAACTAATTTTGTCCTATATGTTTCCAGTGGTTCAGAAAGAATGTGTATTGAGACAACCATCACACTTTAAAAGGCGAGTCTTTATTTTCTAGATAATCTCTCGGCTTTGATAATTTTCTCGTGAACCCATTTAAACTGTATTCAGATGGAAAAGGTAGGTCTAGCGTCCCCCAGCAAGGTCATGGAAGCATTCAGGATCACAGTGTCACCGGATCCACATCCCACCAGGATCCAATCCGCCGTTTAGTCACAAAGTATCTGAGTATCTTAAAGTTGGTAAAAATAAACCAGTAACTAATCTTACCCTTTCTCTATTTTGAGGCAGCTTCAACTCCCTTTCCAATCTGCCATCTTGAGTTTGGGGACAGTCCTAGAAATTCTTTTTCATTCAAAACAATCCCGATTACAATGCTTCTTTTCTCCTTCATTTGCTCCCTCTCCTCCACAGGATTTCTCACTGCTCAGTCTTGATTTTTAGGGCCTCATTTATCCTTATAATATATCATAATAAATCATAAGATGTCATGAAACCAGTCAGATCGTACTTCAAAATCGGAAACGTCATTTAAATGTGGTTCAAAATGTTCCGCTCCCTGCTTCCCACACCGGCTCTCAGTATGCCTGTGACCACACCGTATGTAAGTGCCCGCGTGTGGCCACCCTCACGAGGCACGGTCTGAAGTTTATTCTCCCCCTCAGCTCCCTCCGCTCCCTCCCTGCCCATCAGGTGCACTCCACCACTGGGCTTTGGGACCCATACCCGCTCCTAGCCACCCTCGAGGGCTAAGCGGTGCCTGGCAGGGTCTGTTCTTGGAAGGGGTGGATTTCTCTGTTGGGAGGGCACGTGTTCAAATTCAGCAGGACCAGGGAAGGCAAGACATCAAAATGCTGCAACAGGAACTGGGGGCGGGGGGCTGCCTGTCAGAGGTGAGGGGCTGCCTCCGGCAGGAGGTTCTGGAAGTACCATTCAGAGGTGGAGGTGCCAAGCTCCAAAGATCCAGCAACACTGAAAGAGAATGTGCAGGTTGGGAGGGCCAATATGCAAGCACTGGTACTCTTGTGGGGAGGGATCGGCCTAAGAGGGGCTCTGAGGACCCCACTCTTCCACCACGAAGAGTGTCTGAGGTCTGGGGGTGCCTGGGTGGCATCCGACTGTGGCTCAGGTCACGATATCATGGCTCATGGGTTTGAGCCCCGTCTCAGGCTCTGTGCTGATAGCTCAGAACCTGGAACCTGCTTCGGATTCTCTGCCTCCCTCCCTCCCTCTCTCTCTGCCCCTCCCCTGCTCACTCTCTCTCTCCCTCAAAAAAATAAACGTTAAAAAAATTTTAAAAAGTGTCTGAAATCTGAATCATCACCTCTTGAAATGAAGATCAAAAACCCTGTTATTCAATTTGTGATGAAGGCACCTTCTGAACCCAAACTCTTCTAACTGAACAAACATCCCGTTAAAAACTAAAAAATAATTTTCTGTACGCCAGAACCCTCAAAAGAAGAATGTGTAGCATAAAGCAACGCTTAGGTTGCAAGAACAATTCTTACTCTAGATCAAAAACTTTCTCAACAAGTGAACCACAAACGTGGCAATACCGAAACTGATCCAGTTGGTGCCTGGGGCTGCTTGTGCTTCTCCGTGATACGTACACACGTGTGTTGTTGTTTTTTGCCAACCAAGACAAAACACAAATCTGTTATGCCTTTTTTTTTTTTTTGATACAAAATCTGTAGCCCGGTATCACCTGAAACATGGAAATCCCTACAAAAATACACAAAATCGCTCAAGAAAGTCTACTCAGAGTTACTGGGTAGGAGGTGACACAGATGGTCTGAAGAGGACAGAGCGAGAGGAAAACATCTGGAGTGAGTTTACGCAGATGCTGACAGCCTCAGCATTCTCCTCACTATCGTGAAGGTAGCTTTGCAGCAGCTGAACAGAGTTTTACAAAAATATAGTCTCACTTCAGCAATTTTGACGTTGGTGCACTTTGTTTTTTTGAGAGTGTTCTTTGGAAATGTAACAAAACAATATTATTTTCCATTTTATTACAATTCATTCATCTTCACGTATCATTTGTACTTTTCTGAACAGAATCCTTGAAGAGTAATTTAGCTGAGTGTAAAACTTGAGGTTAAGTTACTTTCTCTTAGCTCCTTCAGGATTGTTATGATTCCATGATTCCACCGCCTTCTGTCCTCCACTGTCCTTGAGAAGTCGGCTTCAAATCGTCTTGCCTTCTGCAGGTAAGATGCCTTCACTCCAAACATTTTTAAGATTTTCCCTTTGGCTTTCAGGCTTTACACTTGCAGCATAATGCATTTTGGTGTAGACATATTTTATTCTGCTCAGGATGCGTATTTCTTCAGTCTGATAAAATATCAATTCTGAACCTTCTCAGCCGTTATCTCCACATATTTCCTCACTCTCTTCTCCTCCCTCCTTCCCCTCTGAGTCTTATTAGATATATGTCAGACACTGTCATTTTATTCTTTATGCCTTTTAACCTATCATGTTTTCAACCTCTGTGTCTCTGTGCTGTATTTTATTTACTCTTTAGAGTTACAGTTATAGATTACTCATATCTAGCTTTCAGTTTGAGAATTCTCTCTTTAGCAGTGTCTAAACTGCTTTTCACCTCAATTGTAGTGTTTCATTTTCACTGGCCGTGTCCTTTTTTTTTCTTAAAAAGTGCTTTCAAAATGGCATTTTATCTTTAAAGTTTCAATGCTTTCTTTTCATAGTTTAAGACTTTAATATTTATTCCACCTTTATTGAGATATAACTGATATACAACATTGCGTAAGACTAATGGGTGAAACATGTCAATTTGTGATATTTATTGCAGAGAGATTACCACCATAACATTAGCTAACACCTCCTTCGGTCAAATAACTATTGTTCCTTTTTGGTGGTGAGAACATTTAAGATATATTCTCTTAGCAACTTTGTTTTTTGTTTTAAAATTTTTTTTAATGTTGGTTTATTTTTGAGAGAGAGAGAGAGTGCAAGTGGGGGAGGGACAAGAGAGGGGGACAGAGGATCTGAAACAGGCTCTGCACGGGCAGCAACAAGCACCCAATGCGGAGCTCGAACCCACAAGCTAGGCATGACCTGAGCCAAAGTTGGATGCTCAACCAACTGAGCCACCCGGGCGCACCTCTTAGCAACTTTAAAGTAGTATTATTAACTATAATCGCTAGGCTGTACATAAGATTGCTTAGAATTTGTTCATCTTGCAACTGTAAGCCTTCAATAGTTTTAAACGTACTTATTACATATTCTCTTTCATACTGGTATGTACTTTAAAGTAATCAGGTCCTGTTTCCTTCCTTCCTTCCTCCCTCCCTCCTCCCTCCTTTCCTTCCTTCCTTCCTTCCTTCCTTCCTTCCTTCCTCCCTCCCTCCCTCCCTCCCTCCCTTACTTAAAAGGATCTCATTATTACACATGACAGAGTATTCCCTTGTGTGTTTGGCAAAAATTGTGAATTCATCTTTTTCATCTTTTAAAAGTTGTTTTTTATCTGGGACAATTTGGCTGTGACAGTATCTCTCCATAGACGTTTCCTTCTTTGGTTGCCCAGAAAGTCTGGCCCAGGACCACGTTTCTTTCTTTCTTTTTCTTTTTTCACTTTTTGTCTTAAAAAAAAAATTTGTTCTGTTTTTGAGGCCAGTGAAATCGCTTATTGGGTTATAACACGTAACGTTTCAGGAGGAGTGGATCACTGTCTCCCCCGGGGTAAGAAGCTGGTCAGTGAGGATGTTCCTCAGGGCCTTCCAATGACATACCAAGTGTACCGTCTCTGAACCATGCTTATTTTAATAACAGCACTTGTCATTGTCCATCTTGATTTTAGATTTTATTTTAGCCACCTCAGGGGTGCGAACTAGCCACTCACTGTGGTTTTCATCTTCATTTCCCTGGCAGTGAATAACACTGAACATCCTTTCGCACGCTTAACTGACCATTTGTAGGTCTTCTTTGGAACAATGGATATTCAGATCCTTTGTACAGTTATTAATTGGGGCATCTTTTCATTTGGAGTTGTAAGAGTTTTTATATGTACATCACGGACATAACTCTCTTATCAAATGTATGATCTGCAAATATCTTCTACGATTGGGGGACTCTGTTCTTTTTTTAACTCTCTTCATGGTAGTCTTTGAAGCACAAAGCTTTTAATGTTAATGAAGTCAAATTTTTCTTTTTTTGCTTGTGATTTTGGTGTCTGGAACCAAGTTTTACATGAATTTCTTTTCTACAAGTCTCTGGGACAGTGTAAAGGCAGAGCCCCAACCTGAGTCGGGCATGGGACCTAGAGTTACTTCACTTCTTCCCATTCAGCGTCCAGGTAGACAGGTAGATGTGGACAAACTTCCTCGGGCAGAGCTTTGCAGACTCTTCCTTCAAAGATGGTACAGTGTTCAGGAGCCTTGTCTGTAGGCAAGCGTCTCGATTCCAACCCCCCGCCTTGCAGAGACTCACGGCTGAACCTCCTTTTCCTGGATGGGCACCATGTCCTGAGTCCTGCAGCTCCCAGGATGGATGTCCCCTCCCCGTGCCAACCCCCTGGGCCAGCCACCGCACCAGCTCACCACCTAATGCTTCCGTCCCTTCGTGTCTCTGACACATGGGGATTTCCCCTGTTTTTCTTATGAGGACAACCAATAAATTCAAAATCCCCCCTAATTATATTTTGTCCACAATTTTCTAGTTAGTCACGGTGACGCGTTTTTTTTTTTTTTCTAATATTTTCTTGGCCTGCCTGTTACTGGAGTTAGAACAGTCCCTTAGAATGTTTCGAGTTCTCTTCTTTGTCACAAAGACTCAGACACTGAATAGAGCTTTTTAAAAATCCATGTGATCAGACAGCCACAAGCTGAGCATACAGTCTCAATCTTTTATTGCTAACGTAATAAAACCTAGAGCCGAAAAGAAAGCCAGGAAGGCATCTGAGGCAGCCCCGGCTGTTCTGGCAAACCCCTCTTTAAATGTCGGTCCTCTTGGAAGAAGAACGATACATTTCCACCCGTTCAGGAGAGAACCTAGCTGTTTCAGACCAGGTGGAAGGAGCTGGTCTGTATCACCATACCCTTTCAATAGGACAGCAGCCCTTTTTTGGGACTCCATAATCTCAAACTGGGCCAGCGAGGGTCCCCAAAACCACAGGTCAGCCCACAAAGCCCAGAAGGTTCAGGGAACACACTGGTCCTTACCAGACCGCAGTCCGCATTTTTGCCTGTTGACCCGACACTTCTCCCTTCCTCCCTGGCAACCGGCGGCAACCCCGAGCCAGGTGGCTCTGCGCAGAGAAGTGCGTACCATTTCTGGAAAGATTCTAAGGGTCAGGCATGCCCGTTCTTTGCTCTTCTCCCTCTGGTAGCTGGGCACAGATGACAATTAGTCTTACGGCACAGCAGAGCCTGGGTCCTTGAATCACCTCGAAGAGAGCCACCCCCTGAACAGGAACAGTCCTACTTGGCGGCAACTGAAAAGTGGACTTCTATTGTGTTAAAGCCACTGAACCTTCGAGGGGCTCTTTGTCAGTGCAGGTGAGACTATCTTAACATGCCCACAAACTACTTTGTCAAGAGGAGGTCCTGAGGGCCTTGTGCTATAAAGATCTCCCTTAGGAACTCTGTACACTCTTGCTTCTCATCACTGATGGTGAGAACCGTGCCTCACTTCGCAAATAATACCGTGAATCCAGCCCCCGGTAAAATCCGTCATTAATTTCAGATTAGTGGCATTCACTCTAATGACGTTCTACTTAAGTCACGGTCACAGTTGACCTGATTACTGGGTTAGGAGAGTGTGGACGTAGACACAGGCGGGGACAGAGCCAATGAGACGCGATGACGGGGGACACGGGTGGGGGCTGAGCCCCGGGGCGGGAAGAGCCCCCCCACCTCACCTGACTCGCGCGTGCGGCCCCGCACCGCCTCGCTCCAGGGCCCGGCGCCGATGGCGTTGAACGCCTGCATCTGGAGCTCGTACTCCGTCCACTCCTCCAGCCCCTCGATGGTGAACTCCCTCTCCAGCCGGTCGTTGATGACCTGTGCCAGTGCCTGGGGCCGGAGGTCGGGGCGCCAGTACTTAATCCTGTAGCCCACCGACTCGGGGTTCCCGTTGTACTGGGAATCGGGCAGGGGCTGGAAACAAACGACACCCAGGGTGAGCCGGCATCTCCGAACTGCCACCTGTCAAGGCCGCCAAGCCTGGGCCTGTCTTATGAGGCCAATTCCTTGGAAAATATTTCCCGCGGGGAACACGCTTGGAACCTTTACCGCGTTTTGTCCCCCCAGAACTTTTCTTCCGTTAATTAAATGAAACCCTATCAGTAACTTTGGCTGGACGTAATTTCTTTTAATACATCTCGGCTTAATTTTGTGGGGGAAACATTCTGAATAAATATCAGGCTGGCTCTCTTACAAACATTGAGTATTGGCTTCATGTTGACCCAGCTTAAGGACTTACAGGTCCAGCTTATGGCACCACTGGTTTCCCTCCCCCAGAGAATATTCCTCAGTTCCAAGAAGCCAGTGAGTGATGCTGCTAATTAATTAACAGGGTCTCCGGGGCTGGTCTGTGACCCAAGCCCAACGGGAAAACGCAATACTTTTTGGTTTCACCAAGAGGTTAGCTGTGACTAGGACAAAGCCGTGGCCAACACATCACTAAGCTCTGGTTTCACGCTAGGTCCTGGACACTGGAGATGACTGTCCCTGCAGCCAACTTCCGGCCCCCCAACTCACCACCCAGCGGAGCCGCAGGCTGGTCTCACTAGCAGTCCGCACGGTGATGCTGGTCGGAGCCACGTCCGGGGGCGCCTGCAGGGTCTGGATGACCCGGGAGGACAGGCTGAAGGGGCTGGCACCGACGATGTTCACCTGCCTCATTCGAAATCTAGAGGCAAATGGCAAAAGGCAATGTGGAAAGATGGACAGAACAAAAAAACCCACAACGTTCTCGGAAGGTGCAGGCGTGTGTCCCTCTGTGTCAACAAGGCTGCCGCTCAAGGGCACCTTCTTTCCACCTGGTTTCATTAAAAATGCAAATTGCGTATCTGGTCCTTTTCCCCCAAAACCTCCAAAGAATGGGAAATTCATTGAAACTCAGAGATGCTACATTCCCGAGTGCAGCGTAATGGAATGGGTTTCATGGCCAGAAATCTGTGTCGTCAGATGCCACTGACTGATTCGAGTTTGGGGTAAGGACAGGGGGCTGGGGTTCAAAGAAGCAGTTGACAGAACTGGAGTGTCAGGATGTCACGACCAAATGGTGGCCTCGAGAGTCTGGTGTCTTTTCACCAGAACGGATGCCCACACCCCATTCTCTGTCGGCTCAGGAGAGGTGCACTGGCCCCAGAATCCGCACCCCAGGACCCGAACCCCATTGGCAATTGGGACCCGAGGCAAATCAGACTCGTCTCCATTTCCTTACCTATAAAAGGAGGGTGGGGGCGGATGTGCTTTAAAGCTTGGTTGGGCTAATGTTTTCAGTTCTCTGTGATTTGTATGTCGATTACTTGGAGTGAACTTTTGTCCAATAAATGTACCCTGAGCAAACACGCATCTATTACAGAGTCTGGAATAGGACACGGACAGGGGTCTCTAATCACAGTTTCTGGCCTTCGAGGCAATTGTACAACTGACATCAATTTCACATGGAAAGCCTGGAGGCCCTGCAGCTCACGTGCGGAGAAAAATATTTCTCGAAAAGCGAGTGCGTGGTGCCTTGATTCATCTGCTCTATTCTGAGGGAGGCTGTTAAAACGAACAGAAGCTTGAACAGCATCTCTCATTAGGCATTTAGGAAAAAAAAAAAAAAGTAATGTCGGTATTATACTCAAAAAAAATGTTCTTTACAAAGATGTAATTTCACCTTTTACTCTCTGAATTAGTCATTCTTAGTCTTTTACTCCCCGATCTTATGAAAAGTATCTGTCCTGGCAGAACAGTGACATTATCAAACTCAACATCTGGCGATAACTGGAAATTTCATCTTGGTCAATGATCTTACGGGAAGTTATAACATCTCTAACGGCTTGTGATCACACTACCCTTTGTTAAGGCCAAGGATTTACTGCCTGGATAGGTTTCAGGATCAAGAAGCAAAAGGTTACATGGCATGTTAAGTGCTTGATTAGTGAGGCCCGCAGCTCCTGGGCGTTGCAACGGGAAGCAGAGGATATTCAGCGGAAGGTGCTTTGTTTATATACAGACTGTTGACAGGCGCAAGGGGTCACTGGGCTTTGTGAAGACCCACGTCTGGGCTGCCTGGGGCTTTTGGTATTAAGCCTAACATAAGAGTGAGCCATCGCAGCTGGTGTTGAAGGAAGGAGAGCTGCTAATCTGACCTCGGGGATATACCCTCTCTTGGAATCCTCCTGAGGATTCATGTAACGTGAATTCAGGTAACATGGACTGTTACCGCTGCTGAGAAATGCCTCGGTCACATACACAGAGCTGGGTTTTGGTCTTGCGGGCTGAAGCCACCCGCTGGCCTTGCCAGCCCTCCTCCTGTGGCGGTCTAGCACCCGAGGTTCTCACCTGTAATGAGTGTAGGGTGTGAGGTTTGGGATCTCCAGCGTCTGGGCGTCAGGCTCATTCTCCTCCTCGTAGAGGCTGACCCACTCCTCCTCCTCTCCGATGGCTCCAACCTGTGGGAGAGAAGATCGTGAGAGGGGACGGAGGAGCCGCAAAGCGGATGCTGCCATTTACACCGTGTGCAACTGCCTGGTGCGAGTCGCGCTGGGCAGACCCACCCCGTGTCCCGTACATGGGTAGGTTAGTTGAATCTTGCACACACCTTCGGTCTAAGCCTTGGAGACAAGGCTCCTGCCAAGCCCAAGATCCTGCCAGGGTCAGGACCCAGAGGGCGGGGCCTGAGGGTGAAGTCTCTGGGGACAAACGTCACGAACCTCACACCATCCTGTCCTCCCTCCTGCTTAACAGGTGAGGATGCAGAGACAGGCCCAGAGAGAAGACCTGGCCAGGGTCCCACGTGACCCCATGTGGCCGCGTGTCCTCACTTAGGGTCCAGAGCCATTTCCACCACACGATGACCGGGGGTGGGGGGGGGACGGAGTCTCCGCCCACTTCTGTCCCAAACACTCTTCAAAGAACTGGCGCTTCTTCAAAGAACCTTTCGCGGAGAAGGACTGGCCGCTGCCCGGGAGCCAGACCAGCAGGCCAAGTCAAGAGACACCATGACCTCACACCAGCCAGGAGAGCCCTGACTCCACATCCCTATGTCAGGCACTCTCGGCCTTGTGCAGGCTGTGTGGCTCTGGGGGACCCAGCGGACACACGTGGAGGGAAGGCTGGAGCACAGAGGGAGTTTCAGGCCAAACGTGCCGTGCCGAGGTGGGTCATTCCAGGGCCCTGCGCTTTTAACACTTCATAAAGGTGTCAAACGACACAAATGAGCAGAAATGGGCTCGTTAAGCTTGCCAGTGGCCAGGGGGCTGGGGGAACGGCACAAGAACCCGAAATCTCGGAAAACCGGAGGGCGGTCCAGGAGGGCGAGGAGGAGCCTGAGCGGACACAGTACCGACAGGCCCGCTTCCTCCAGAAAGCTAAATGCAGACTCGAAGCTCTAAACACCCCATGTTGAAAGCACGGAGAGAGTCTGGCCGTTCCTCGAGAAGTTAAACAGAGGACGACCATATGGGCCAGCAGTTCTGCTCCCAGGGGGAAGCCCGGAAGCTGGTCCTCTAGCAGGTACACGGGTGCACGTGTTCACGGCAGCTCTGGCCACAGGGGAAGGCCACACAGGGGCCCATGGGCGGACGCGCGGATCAACAGCTACAGTGCCCCCACACCGTGGACTGTGCAGCTGTAGAAAGGAACCTACAACCTACAAGGTGGGTGAACCTCGAAACCATGATGGTAAGTGAACGAAGCCAGACCCCAAAGGCCACATACTGTACGACTGCATTTCATGCAGTTCCCAGAACAGGTAAATCCAGAGTCAGGAAGCAGATGGGTGGGTGCCAGGGGCCGCAAGGAGGGAAGGGTGAGTGACTACTTCACGGGTACAGGACTTCCTCTCGCGGTGATGAGAACGTTCCGGGACCGGGTGTTGAGCAACATCGTGAACGCACTAACGGGTGAACTGCGTACTTTGACACGGTTAACTTTATGTTACGTGAATTTCAACTCCGTTTAAAAAATCAAAAATGTTAAAATAAAAGGTGGGATGACTGGTCAAAAACGTGTGGTGGAGAAAGATCCGGAGGTCAGAGTCGATGCACGGCCCGGGAGTCAGAAAAGCAGCAGGGTAGTCAAATGGGCAGTGACATCAGGAAAAGATGATGGAGTCGGCACAGCTGGGGACAGGTGGGTAGCCTCCAGGACCCTTGCGCCGGTGGAGGCTAGTCTCCCCCAGTCATCAGCCCTGGGGCCCCCACCGGAGCCCGCAGAGACACAGAGTTGAAAGAGGGAGAGAGCAGACGTACATCGAGGATGGTGCACAGAATGCCTGTGTTGGAGAAGGGAGGGTCTAGGCTAACCTGGGTTGGAGGAGCTGCAGAAACAGACAGCACTAAGTGCCCCCAGGGCCCAGGGCCGCCACCGGCCTCCTCCTCTGTGCCCGTGATGTGGAAGGGGCCCAAAGGGGAAGACTGGCCAGTACTGACCACGGCCTGGGTCCGTGCGACGCGGCCGGGCAAACGGAGGCGAGCCCCCGCCGTGTGGTGTCAGGGAGCGCACCAATGTCCACTCAGGAGCCCTGCCCGTGGCCCGGCGTCCAGCCGGGGGCAGACCCTGCACGAATCTGGGGGGGTGAAGGAGGGGAGCTGGCAGATGAACTACAGGGCGGGAGGCAAACCACAGCTGTGCCCCAGACTTGGAGGGTCTGCCGCGGTTCTACCCCACGTAGAGGGGACCACACTGTCCGCTCAGCACTGTTCTAGACGTTAACAAGATGTAGGCACGCCTCAAAGTCAAAACGCTAACAGCTCAGCCGAACTGTACGGAGTGTCAGGAACCCCCTCGATCTGGGCCTCACGGCAGGGTGTCGTGGTTTCTGAGCCTGAGGTGACAGGTGAGCTCCTCTCCGTGAAAGGGACCCTCGGGAGGCTGAACTGCAGCACTTGTACCATTTCTTGTAAGACAGGTTTAGGGGGGAAAAGGGAAAGGAGAATGTAAGGAAAAAGGGAAGAGATGACTTCGGTTTTAGGAGAGTCAGTTCAAGACCTTTTATCTCCTGTTTGAGCCCCTACGGAGACGCCTCAGAGGGTGCTGGGGAGCGGGGCGGCCGGCGCTCGGGGCACCGAGTGACAGAGGCAGGTGCGGGCCGTGGGCACCTGCTCACCACCACCAGGAACCGGGACACGAGTGCTGCCCCGGAGCACTGTTGTCCTGACGTGTCTGTGCGCATGGAGGGGGGACACGCACGGCAAGTGCCATTTGTGGACCAAATCCCCAGGCCCCACCGTGGGGGCCCCTGTGCTTCTGCGAAGGCACTCCTTCCTGCTATCTCCCTGTGTCCCCAGCCCCACCCCTCCAGCCATGGCTGCTTTATCTGAGCTCCTGGTGTAGAGAAATACCCCGGGCTAAGAAACGACAGGGCTTGGTGGTGGCAGGCTTTTGGCCTCAAAGTCTGGCGTGTTGGGATTCCATCTGTCTGGTTGCCTCACTGGCCTAAAGCATTCATCTGCCGGCCCGGTGACTGCCCTGACCCCGTGGACGTCACTGGCCTGAATGGGCACCGGGGGCTCGGAGCGTGCCCTTGGCTGTGCAGCCACTGTGGTTGCCGGGGCTCAGCACACGGCCTCAGCGGGGTCAGCAGGGGTCGCCTGCCCTGGGTTTCTAGCCTGTTTCGCTCACGTGATTGAGAAGACGGGAGAGGAACTGGCAAGGCCTCCTTATACGCTACTGGAGAAACACTGCAAGGCATCCGTGGAGGTTGCAAAGGAAGGAACCGGCTGGCGTGGTTCCCGGGGGCCCTGGCCCGCAGCTGCATTAGCCCCACGGCTGGGAAACGTGAGGGGCCGGCAAGATGACACCCGCTTAGCGTTCCTGGGAAAGAATGCCACTCCGCACTGGAGAGCCTGTGCAGAGAGAGCTCCCAGGCCCTGCCGCCATGTTCCCAGCCATGCCTAACACGCCTTCTGAGAAGGTCACTGTGGGTCGAGTGCAGGGCTTCTGTTTTGCGGAGGGGAGCCTCCGGCTGTAGGGCTAGGATGAATGGATGGGGACACCCAAGGTCACAGTTCCCTGCCTTCCCATGGAATGCTCCGTCTCCTTTTTAAACAACCTGGATTTGAACGGGTGCCAAATTAGCGGCGAGCCCAGGTGGGCGCCGCGTGGCTCCGTTTGGCTCTGCCCGCCACTTCTCCCTGCAAAGCCAGTCTGTCATTACCCGGAGGCGTCACTTAGTCGCAAACACCTGCACCTTGCAAAGGCTCTTCCCGCCCTCGAAAGTGTGCCCCCTCCCCACTCCTGTCCTTGCAGCCCATGAGCTCCTCTAGAAGCTGCAGGGCGGCCGGGGCTTTGGGAAGCATCCAGGAACGCCCCTGCCCCCATGCCACTCATTCTGCCCTCTCAGGGCATCTTCTGTGTCCCTGAGATACAGCGTTCCTCCTGCCTGTCACATCCTTTTAAAAACATGACTCTCCTATGAATACACAGTACAGGTCAAAGATTCCTTTTGCTTGTTGGTGAGGGAACCAGCAAGGTGCCGAAACTGGTTCAGAGAATATCAGAGTCAAAGCGCAAGGACTCCACCAACGAGGACACACGTTTTGCCCCAAGATGGCAAAATTAGAAGTAAAACCGGTTACAAGAGCACGGCAATCCTAACCTCTGGGTGCGGAACTTTCAATCTTCTGTAAGTTCTAACTTAGAACATCTAACTTCACAGAGCCTGAGCCAAATCATAAATAGTAAGACAAACACAATCACGGTCCTGAGGACAGACGAGCCGAGCCGTAGGCAAGCTCATGAAACCAGACCCCAGTACAGGGACCAGCACGCTACGGCCCGAGGGCCAAATCCGGCCCACCTCCTCCCGTTTTTGTCAGTAAAGCTTTACTGGGACACGACCACACTCGGTGTGGCACTCGGAGGTGGCAGGACCACCTCCTGCCAATGGCTGCTTCTATGCTGCCAGAGCAAAGCTGCTAAGTTACAGCGGAGACTGTCTGCCCGAAGGCCTAAAGGATTAACTATCGGGCCCTTCACAGGAAAAGTTTGCCAACCCCTGGTCCAGCGCTTCACCAAAAGGACAGGCAGTGCCCCTCTGCCTCCTTACTGAGGTGACTTGCCATGTTTGTCTTCCCTTTTGTCTGCATGAGAGCCCCCAGTCAGGTTCAGGGTCTCACCCCTCACTGCCCCGCCGGGCATCACCCCCAGGAGCCGTCCCAACCTGTTGGCTTCATATACAAATGTGCAGGATTTCAAAATCAGTACTGAAACGAGGTTGTCTTGCGCTGAGCTCCAAAAGCAAATTATTACCAAAAATGTAATTTTACTTACGGATCTCCGAAGCAGGGGAGGAGGAATGCTTAAGTTTCTATAATAAAGGGTTTACATTTTGATCTGAAGCGACCAGAATTCTTTTTCGCGAGGAACAGAAGTCTTTTGACACTTGCTGGGCTCCTCCGGCTCTCTAGTGAGATTTCAAAACCATCACGACGGAGTGTTCTAGAAGTAA